AATAATAGGAACAGTGCTCCGGTGGTTGGATTGGGGAGGGAACGCCGGGTATGGACCAGCCCCACTCCCCGAGAAGCCCCCGGCCCCATGAGAAGACACTCTCACACGTCCACCTTCATCTCTCAGCATTAAATGATTTTAAAAAACTGTATAGAAATCACCACTCATAATTCTTTCTCTCCAGAGCCCGGCAGCGGCTTCACCACTCCAGCTTCAGCGAAACCTCCTCTCCTCCCACACGTATCGCTTCCCTGCGGGCACCTTGCGGAAAAACAGGCTGTTCCCTCGGCTCATGTTGCCCTGGAAGGGAGGAAACGGCCACGGACAGGTGAGTGAGGGCTACCCCGAGCCCTGGTGCGGCCACCCCAGACCCCACAGGGCTCCCACCCGGCTCTTCTCTGTAGCCAGGCGGCGTCCCGGTGCTGCCCGGCTCCGGCCACTTACCTCCCTGTGCAGCTGGCTCCAGCAGTCCAGCCAGGAGGAGTAGGTGGGTGCATAGGGCAGGAGACCCCCGGCCAGCCTGGGGGAGGGAAAGCAGACCCACAGGGAATTATTTCCCCCCGGGACCAAGGTAGGACCCATCCCCTCGGCAGCTCCGTGCTGGGTCAAACCCCAAAACCGCCCTTTCAAGGCTCCACACGTCTCCCCTACAGCAGCGCTACCCATGAGGGATCAACCCCACAGCAAGTTTGAAACCTCTTTGCCAACCTGGAGCTGATCTGGCACAGAGGGAGGTGCCCACCACCCACACGAGCCCCTCCAGGTGTGGGCTCACCCTCCCCGGGGGGAGCGGGAGGAGGATGGGGTGGGAGGGGGAGACTCACCCACAGTTATTAACGGCCATCAGGTTGGAGACCAGCACGAAGGGGTAGGTCAGCATGCTGGCGAAGAACTGCAAGGGAGAGTAGGGCTGGTCAACAGCAGCACGCAGGCCCCACAGGGATCCCCCCCATATCCCCCCAAGGGGGGAGAACATGCTCCAAAAGATCCCCAGGGACCACCCCCCTGGGAGGGAGCCCTCTCCCGCAGGCTCCGTGCAGGGCCAGGCTACATGGAGGCAAGCTCGAATTTTTGAGCCGGGCTCTGGCGAGAGCGAGAAATGTTTTGCCGACAAAGTTGCGAGGCGAGCGCAGAGCACCGGGGTTTGCAGGGCTGCGAAAGGCGACTACGGATCCTTCCCCCTGTGGGATAATCCCTCCGGAGCAGCGCCCAGCTCTGCTCCAGACCCCAGCAGCATTCCAGGAATGCACTGTTTCCCTGGGGAATGAGGCTTCAATTCTCTTCACCCTCCCCGCAGGGAGACAGCGTCATGCACACGGGTGTACGCACACACACACACACGGGCTGTACTCACTCCAGTGACTGCCTGTGAGTAGCTCTTCATCTCGGTCATGGTTGAGACCTGCGGGAGGAGAAAAGGCACATTCAACGCCCACGGAGCCGTGCTGCCACCCCAAAGCGGAGCCCTGTCCCCCTGGACTGTCCCCTGAGCCTCCCCTGTCCCTCACTGCTGTCAGCGACGCCGCCCCCAGCCCACCCTGAGCCCCCCCGAGCAAGGTGCAGAGCCCGTACCCCGTTCTCCAGCGCGTATGTGTTGATGAGGTAGGCCAGCATGTTGCAGAGCCAGAGCGAAAGGATGTCCCCGAGGAGCCGGGGGATGAGGCCGCTGAAAGAGAAGAGGCAGTGGGAACGTGAGCCCAGGGCGGATCGGATCTGGCCACGCGGAGAGCCTGGGAAGAGCCGGTTGGGAAGGGGAGGGAGCGGCCGTTTCCCCCATGGCCGGGTGAAGGGGGAACACCCGGCCCCAGGAGTGGGGATGTTCGGACAAGCGGGACGTGGGCGCACAGGGGAGATGCCGGAGGGACCCAAAACACCCACCAGCCACCCACGGCAGGAGGCTGGTGCTCCCGGGGAAGGTTTAATACACCTTTGCTCCATTTTAATGTCTCCAGATGTCACCCACACAACCCAAGGACGGTGGCTACGAGGCAGGGGCTTGCCAGATCCGTGCCAGGAAGCCTTCGGGGAGGGCAGAACGGGGAACCGTGCGCCCCAGCAGCGGGCAGAAGTCAGAGCAGAATGCTTCTCGAGCCCAGCGAGATGGGAGAGCAGAGCTGCAGCGCCGTGGCCAGAGCGAGGAGCAATGCCCGAGCGAGGCCAGCAGATTTTGGGGAGAGACCCCGCTGTCCCCCCACCCCCTCCAAGGTGCTGGTGGACGACACTCACGCGAAGAAGCCCAGGATGCCCTCTTCTCGGTAAATCGTGGCGAAGGCGCTTAGTGTCCCGCTAGGGAGGAAGAAGAGAGCGCTGTGGTCAGATGGGGCCCCGTGGGTGGGCATTCCCCCCCGCCCCGCAGCAGCCCCGGTCCCCCACCCCGTACCTGTACTTGGTCTCCCGGCCGATGAACTGCACCATGCAGCGCAGAGTGATCACTGCGGGCAGAGACACGGGAATCGGGGGGGGCACAGGGACAGCCCGGGGTGACACAGGAGTGACAAGCACCCATCGCCCGGGTCACCAGGACCGCGTGTGAGCTGCAGGGGAGGGCACCTACCGTGAAAGGGGTGGGTGATGAGGGTGGCGGCAGAGCGAGCGACCATCTCTCGGGAGGTCTGGGGAGAAACAGGCTGTCAGGGGGAGTGGGTGACAGGGACGCGGCACGCCGAGAGCCGAGCACCGGTGCGGTACCAAGCCCCTCACACACCCAAGCAGACCCAGCATCCTCCTTCTCCTCACCTCCTTGAGGACCTGCTCCAGCGAGGACACAGGCTCCTTCTTGCTGGCTCCAGGCTGGAAAGGGGAAGAGGCGTCAGGCAGGGGACAGTCCCCCTACAAAGTACTGCTCCCTCCCCACCACTCCTGAAAGGATCTATGCCCCCCACAGCTCAGCCTTGGCAGCCCCCCAGAGCCCTCTGTGCCACGCGATTCTCCCTGGGGGGAGATTCTCGGATGCCGGGGTGCCTCGGGAAGGGAGGGAGAGAGAGATGGGAAGGGAGGGAGAGAGAGATGGGAAGGGAGGGAGAGAGAGATGGGAAGGGAGGGAGAGAGAGATGGGGAGGGAGGGATGGAGGGAGAGAGAGATGGGAAAGGGGGGATGGAGGGAGAGAGGGAGAAATGGGAAAGGAAGGATGGAGGGAGAGAGGGAGAAATGGGAAAGGAAGGATGGAGGGAGAGAGGGAGAAATGGGAAAGGAAGGATGGAGGGAGAGAGGGAGAAATGGGAAAGGAAGGATGGAGGGAGAGAGGGAGAAATGGGAAAGGAAGGATGGAGGGAGAGAGGGAGAAATGGAGGATTTCCCAGGGGGAAGCAGCCTCGAACTTACCTCAGCCTGCTCGGCCTCCTGGTACCGCTGGGGAGGGAAGGGCAGGGTTAGGACGACCGCAGGGGCTGGGGGAGGCCCTGCCAAAGGGGTGAGCCCCCCTTGCAGAGCCCCCACGGGCCCGGCGGCGCCGTGTGTGCGTGTCCCCGTGTGCGCGTGTCCCCGTTCCCCGGTACCTGCAGCACTTTGCTGTGCACGACGGTGCCGATGGCGCTGGAGCAGAGGCGGGGGGTGAGGCCCTTGAAGAGTC